TAACGGTTTTTCGAATGAATCTGTCGTCACATATTTTCCTTATTTAATCATGACAAAGTAAGTTAAGTAGATTTATGTATTTATCTACGTCTGTATTAATATATTTACATTTGTATGATATATGTATAGAATACCTTATATGATTCGAACTTCGTTACCTTTTTTTCTCACTATTATTTTACTTTTTCTGCACTACCTCCAATATACTTATCTCTGCTTAGCCTAATGGTTGACTGGGAGAGAATGCCTTAAGGAATTAAGTCCGCCATATGTACAATTTTTCTTTGGTGCATAAAAATTTAAATAAATAAATAAATTTACAAGCGTACTCGCCGCGTGTCTCACAACTGTATAAAAACTACTGGAACTGCTGTTACAGCGATTTTTATGTGGCAGTCATTTTGAACAGAAATATCATAAATAAAAGGTTTTAAAATCATCTCTATCTATTTAAAAAAATCAATTGATGTCCGTTAGTCTTGCTGAAACTCAAAAGCGGCTCGATCGATATTGATGAAATTTTCGGTGTGTGTTTGAATGGCTCCCTAGATGGTTTACATTTGGACACAGTAGGTGACGCTATTATTGTTGATCCAGAAATCGGATCCGAAGAGAGAGATCTAAGCCGGGGCAGATCGCTAGTACATAATAAAATACAAATCATTAATTTAATTAAGGTTTAGCTATAAAACCTAATGCGTTCCACGCGTGTGTATGGTAAGTATTCAACAGTCAGTTAGTAAAGATAAAAAAATTATGTTGTTACCAATAATTACAATAGCTACGAAAAATAATGGTTGTCATTTTATTCGAGTAGAAATGACCTTGCTTCGTGGAATTGAACAGTTTCGGTTTTATTTCATTCAAACTCCTACTTTGCGCAATTTAATTTACGATCAAAAAATACTTCCATTCCTTTCCATCCTTCCTTACTTTTTTAATTATCACAAATTATGAAGTTATGAAGTTTTTATTTAAGTCTCCAAACATGTACATCTGTTCCATTATACATTTACTTTACATTGCGAAAATATATAATTATGGAATAAACGAAAAATGAAAAACAGTTATCTTTCGAGTTAAAGCAGTTCCATAAACAGTAAAACCCAGAGATATTACTGCTCTCTCTCTCTCTCTCTGTCTACATTGAAATTTGCAACAATGAGCTCGAGAAAGATGAGTTTTCTTTACACATATTGGTGGACATTGCGTGTGGCGGAAGATGCCGCATCAGTTGTTCCGTTGCACTCTATTTCTCATCGCGCCTGCATCCGAGTAAAGTCCAACTCCAATATATGCACTGAGTCGTTGTAAAAACTAATCTTCCATTTGATAAATGAAATATTTCAACTTGGAAGATAATATTTTGATAATATTTTATATTCACGAAACGAAAGTAAATGAACATGTGGCCTATGTGACTTTTAAGGAAAGTCTATGGCCAGCGGGTCGAAATCAGTTCGAGGATGCGGAGACCGACTGATATATCTGGACCGTAGCAGTGTTACACGTCTAAAAGAGAGGGTTTGCCTTAGTACCCGCGTGCGCAATATTTCCATCCCGCTTAACTTGTTAAAAGCCTACGTAGGCATCAATAAAAAATTAGCGCCAGTTCCGAATAATGTTAAGACCAACCCACCGAAGACACGGCTATGTAATATATAAAAAAAATTGTTTGTTTGTATTTTATGCGCTGCCATACCATTCATCAGATTTGAAAAAAAAAACGGTAAAACTTCGTCAACATATTGCTTACACTTCCGCGAAGATTATAGGCATAGTACAATTAACTTAAAGTAGTTGGCGCGCGTATCGTACCTACAAATTTATTTGCAAGTTATATGTCATTCATGACGGCTCCGTGGCGCAGTGGCTTAGCAATCAGTTGTTGCGCTGGGGGTCGCGGGTTCGAATCCCGCACGGAACAAGTATTTGTATGGCCTACAAATAATTGTTCCGGGTCTGGATGTTTGTCCTTGTGCAATTTATGTTTGTAAACTGCCTCCACGACACAGGAAAAAATCCTAGTGTGGGGGTAACGTTTTTAAAAAAAAAAAAAAACAAAAATAAAAAAAATAAAGAAATAAATAAAGGCATAGTACAATTAACTTAAAGTAGTTGGCGCGCGTATCGTACCTACAAATTTATTTGCAAGTTATATGTCATTCAATTTAAATGAATGTACTGTGTAATCCTACTTAAACAATATAACCCTACCAAATGTAAAACGATATTTCCACAATATTTCTTCTGCGGCTGCAACGCGCCGGGTACCAGCTAGTAAGTAATGACTTCCTCAGTACATTAAAACAATATAGGTATTTTGAAAAAGACTACACTTTACTTTTTTCGTGTTACAAACTTTTTTGTCTCACTTTCAGTTCGATTAATAAAAATTATAATAAATGGGGCTAAACGCTCGCCGTAAATTTCACAGTCCGCAAGTGACCCAGATTCAATCCCCGGGGGCACCAATGTAATTGTTAGTTGCTAATTTAAGTGCTGATTTACCACGTGCTCGGCGGTGAAGGCAGATGTCTGAGAAAAAAATATTTCGAGGTAATGTGAAGTCCGCCATATACACGCATTGAAATGGCACGGCGGAGTCATCCAAATCAATCATCCAGCATCCAAAAATTGTCTCAGAAATTATAGGAGGCCTTTTGAAGCAGTGGGATTTAATACAGGCTGTAATTATCTTTAACTTTATGCATATCTTAAATTAAATAATTATGTCACATTCTGCGAAATTTTTTACCGAAACACACTATATATGCTGCCCATCTCCTGTTTGTCTCCTACCACCGCCACATAATCCAATCCAGCAAATTTATTTATTGTGTATTTTGTAATTCGTGTTCTCCAAAACGGCTTTAACAACTTCGGTAAAATTTGCAATATAAGAAAAATTGATCCAGCTAGGTCTCATTTCTGATAAAATTCGTTTTCTCAGTGTTTTCACGCACAGCAAGGAACTTGACTGAACAAGCAATATGTTTGGTAATTACGTCTCAGAGATCATCTTCTCAATACCTCAATGGCGAAGGCGTATATACCACGCCGGGGCGCGCGTAATGAAATCCCGCAATAAGGATAGATTTTTTGTTCGTTAGTATTCTAGGCCACTAATAACTTTTTTACGGAGTTACGTACAATTTTATGACGCTATGAGCACTTTTCTACCAAGAGGTTTAAAGCTTTTATTGAAAAATTCTAACTTATAACACTTTTTTTAAATAGTAAAAATGAAAAAGATTCTATTTCGACATTTTTTAAGGTCGCCCAGCTAAAGAATGAAACAACCAACAATAATTAAATAGGTAATTTCGTTTTTAAGTTTCGTAGTAAGTGATATGCGCTTCTACTTTGTATATTGTATTTATCACTTATGACAAATAAACGCTTATGCTTAACGAAAAGGTAAACTATATTAAATATATTATTATACAATATTAATAATTTTGGAATAGAGTCATCAAAACATAACTCCTTCTCTAATATTATACCGGGCTTAAAAACACTATGTTAGTAGGTATGATATGTCAAGACTGCAAGGAGGCTCAGCGAGGTACGCTGGTCATTGGCACTGACATAAGGGTCTTCGCCCGGAATAACTGACCTAGCACTAGGTGGCTAGGTGCACATTCATCGCGGACAAGGGTAGCGGTGCACCTGGCGGTTATGTTGCCGCGTTTTTGTACCACCGCTACCACAGAGCTATCTGTCTGCGGTAGTTTATTTTAGAAAAGCGCGCAGATGGCGCGAACGCAGTCTCACTCTCGATACGATTCTACACCCTACAGTGTTGTACGCAGGGTGCAGTTATGCATGTGTGCCACTCCCAGGGCCGAGTTGTAAACAAACCCGGCGAGGGCAATGGCTGCCGGCCACTCCCCGCTCTCGCCGCGCCAACGACGCCATTCAACCGGGAAGTTCACGCTTTATTTTTAGCATTTCACGAAACAAGCAACACTGTACAATAAACTATAACGGACTTGTGCCGGACTCATCTCACAAAATATATATATTATCACAATATAATTTACCAGCGACAATGTTTAAGATTGACAACTCACTTTTAAGTTTGTTTCTCTTAGAGCGTCAATGGCTGCTTCGGTTTAATTCAAATACAAGAAGCCATGCATACAATGCTTCTACTGTGATTAGGCTATTTTTCAAATTAAAATTCGGTTATCATTAAAAACATTTCACGAGTAAATAAAGGTAAAGAACAACTAGTGTCTTATTTAGCTGACGCGTTACGTTTTAGAGTAAACATAAAATGAATAAAATAAGAACTTATTTTAGGATACGGAAAATGTGCCTTTTAAAAATAATAATAAACTACGTAATGACGGATTAGGAATCGGCACCGTTTTGCCAGTGGGAAATAAATAGTAACTCGGCTATTTTTATAACCGGTCTTGCGAAAATAATAGAACAAGTTAGAGGCGTATGTGATATCAGTATTGACGAAGGGTAGAACCGACATCGCATGGCCAGGTGCAAGCGCCGGGGTCAATAGCCTCAGTAGCGTGACAAGTAACTAATAAGTGAAGCCCGCGTCACAGAGATATGTGACGCGTTCGGGGACCCTTCTGGTAATAGTGCGTAACCATCGGCATTGACATTGGAGACATCGGCAAGCGCCAGATCCGCGCCGCGGCCAAGAGCGCGGTGCTACTTCCGAAGATTGTTGTCTTCGGCTGCGTCGGAGGCGATGGCGCTCGGGCGCGAGTCAATGACCCGATGGCAAAGAGGGCGCGAGAGGTTGCGCGCGCACGCAGCGGTGCCCCGCCTTTATTTATTACGCTACGCGCGGCGAGCTCGGCGCCGCAACGCGCCGCCAGCGCGCGGCGGGGCGGAGGCCGCATTCCGGGCGGCCGGCGCTGCGGCTCACCGCGATGCTAAAATAACATGCCCCCATACCATTTTACTATATACCGATTGCCCGACGTCACTGCCGAGCCACACGTTAAAATAATCTATCTCAAACTTACGGTTGCAGGAACAGGCAGCAAGCACGTGTGACCACGTCGTATACCACCACTCCAATGTCCATCGTCTGACAGGAACAGACACTGTCCATGTTGATATAGTTTGTACTGGGTCGTAGTGCATGGTCGCAGTCACGTCGACGCGTCTTTATTATATATATTAAGTCATCACAAAAGTTCACATGCCGCGCGCGAAGTCTCGGGACCGAACGACGGAGTACACGTCAAGTCAGGTGGCAGTATGACGCATTAGTGAGCGCGCGGCGCGGTCGTACAGAATGCGCAAGAAGACGAGGAGGTGGAAAGAGCGGGGGCCGCGGGGCTACTCCCCACCCCTCACCCCCGTGCTCTGTGCTGCCCTCTAGGCCGGGCTCATCGACCGCGTTCGCCCTCGCCTCGGCACGCTGCTGCCATGCCGCTCTAGCGGCTATAGCCGTACCGCAGCGAGACGCGCACCCATCCCGCCCGTACCACCCGTACCCACCAGGAATATAATACCGCAACATTAACATAATGCATCCACAAATCCTACATCTTCCAAAAAATCCGCAAGCCATGTATTTTTTTAAGTTTCTTCATAAAAAAATAGAACGCGTATTATCTATAGGTATAACCTAATGAATTGATTGGCAATCTTCATCAAGCTACCTTTTTTATAATAAAAGCCTTATAATTCACGAGTCACGAAATAAAGCAAAAAAAAATGTAACGTACTTAAGCCAGTGGAGCTAAGTACCTCTAATCAAACGATACTCTAACGGACTTATGAAGCCAACGTGTCAACAACCACGCGTACGTCGAAGTCTAAGTTAGGAGAACTAACAAGAACCAATATACTAAATATTTAGTATCAAATAGGGCTGGCACAACAATACAAAGAAAATTTACTAAATTATATATAAAAAAAAATTGCAAACTCGCAGAAAAGCAAAACGTTATATCCTACGTAATATCCTCCCACTACGGACTGGGCACAGACCTAATTGCCTTTGGGGGTTTTAGTGATGATAAAGACTGTGTGCTATCGTAATTCATTCAGCGAACTTCCCACATGACTAAAATATAGGTAATTCTCAGGACATGGAATTTTTTTTCACGATATTTTCTTCATTACTGACAAAGTTCAATTATGTCGAGGAAGATCTAGATCGGATCACTCACGTACGAGGAAATTTAGGGTTCCCGCGGCCAGCCATTGAGCTCAGTAGCGCTTCGCATCACCAATAACGCAAAACAGCTTTATATATTTTGAAACAACCAAATCTAAAACAATTCGATTGTTTTTGTTATAGTTAAATTTTCTAAACTCACTGTATTTCATGCATATTTAAAAAAATATTGACACCAGCTTTTTATTGATGTAGGTGTGACCGCAACTTTTTGCACGCCTTCGTTAAACTAGTTTGTTGTTTTCTGCCGCTCGAGTGAACTGGTTCACTCTCGAATAAGATGTGAAACGATTTGACCCCTCTAACGGGCGTCATTGTACGCGGAAGGTCGGTGCACATAATCCGTACGAAATCAAAAGTACATTGATAAAGTGCTTGATGTGCTTCAATCATGTTGGTGGCAACAGTACCATTGTCTATGGCGATGAGTGACAACGAAATGCAGGGATAATATGTCGAAGGAGAAAATGTATAAAGTAATGTCATGAAAACATAAATAAGTGATTAAAACGTTTTTTTATAAAAATATTTTTTTAATTCCAGTATATTATACGCTATACAATGATGAAAGGAAAAAAAATCAAACATTCGGTGACCATCCGCCCCCTGTGCTATTGGCATACTTACATCGAAATGTCAACCATAATTTCAAAGCAAAGAAGGAAATAAAACTTTCATAGAGCTTTCGAAGAGCTTTTTTACTACAGAAAGAAGATAATAAACACCGAGAATTGTAATAATAAATATAATAAATTATAACCATAGAAAATGATTAAAAAGCCTATGTAACTATAAATCTGTTATTTTTAGTAGTGCACAATAAAGTTTATACTTATTTCAAATCAAATCAAAATGTTAGGGGACTTTTTAAAATAGATAAGCTTTTGGCGATAAAATTACTTTTTATCTTACAGTAAGGCAGGTAGGCAGCTTGCTCGCTACTTACTAGTCGCTACTCTGTTAAATTTAATATTAGTTATTCGTAGATTTATAGCACCAAAAGGCAATAAGTATGAACAAGGAAGATGTGCAGTGACCGACATTAAAATTGAGTGACATAGTAAGCACCACCAGCCGACATAAGTGCAATCGACGTACGGATAATTGGTGTATCCTATGTAAAATATCAGTAGCAAACGCATTTTAGTTAGCACCCAGTAATCAATTAGCGAACCAGGAGAGTAAGTAGTGGAATGAGAAACTGAAACTGATTATCCAAGTACAAATTAGATGTTACATACCATTTGGCACACACTGAAAAAAGCACGTTGTTTCATAATTTCTTAAACGTCGCTATACTGGTTAGCTACTGCATGATACGAATCCATTATTAAACAATGATGATTGATACACCTTTATTAAAAAGAACAATTAAAAAAGGTCGCAAAATGTCGATTGCGCTACTCTAAGATGTTTAGCCCATGTATTAATATTACTATAGGTACTATTTGACAGAAAACTTGAACGAATCCCCTTTCAAAATTCCCTACGATGCTACAGTTACACCTACATAAAGTTTCCATTCAATTATTAATATTAACAAAGAGGACGATAATTAAAATCGCGGCGAATCAGTCCGCATTTAAATGTGGCTGAGAATTAAAGTAATGTCTCTGATCGGTCTGAGAGAGCGAAGCTGTGGCACGCCTACGCCCGGCATCAGAAATAGCTGCGCGAGCGCCGCCAATGACTCAGCACGGACAATGGACCTGGTGTCCCCGTGTGCGACAGCTTTCGCCAACGCGTCATCGTCAAACAGTACTTACTATCGGATTATTCACTATGGGTAATGAAATGCATTTCCTTTAAACATTTAATAGAAAATTACACACATCATTTAGTTAATATGTGCAAACCATAGAATTATTACCTATTACGTAATAATTCTATGATGCAAACATTCGTTTCAACTATTTACATAAAATTTTTCATAGTTTATATTTAAAAAGTAATAATAAGTATTAGATTTTCGAGTCTTAACTTCAATATCGGGCAAACTCATATAAACTTATGATGTGTTAACGTCTGAAACCCGTCGTTCTACTTCGTCACACTTTGATAAAAATTGTGTATTGACACCGGTAATTTCAGCAAGCGTGAGTGCGGTTACTCAAATAGTTTTCGTCGCCAAGTGCTCAGCAAACAAGTACGCACACATGTACATACTAATGTTATGCTAATGATTACGCTGGACACATATTAATTTAAGTACGGCACTTTAGCCCAGCTATCGACAAAGGCCTCCAATCAGTAACGGTCCAGGTCTTCGATGAAAGGAAGCCAACATAGCGGGCTTGTATGCCCCACGTCATTGTGATGTGAACTAGATGGAAAAGTATACGCATGCCATTGCACGTTACACTGCAGCAATATTCGAAACTGGCATAATTTTACTAACGCGACACTCATCACCCAAATTTGAAAACTATATACATTCGAAACACAACATCAATAATAAATGACGCCGTATTAAAACAGTAGGATAAATATATACATCTAAAGATTACCGGCGAAATTAAAAGAAAGCAAGTTTTTCTTACAATCGAATGCGACAACAATGGTTAAGTGGATACTCGTAAAATTATAAGTAATAACAATAAAATTTATAAAAATACATAAATACTATTTTCAAGAAAACACGGTAAGCAGACATTTTGATTAGTAACTAGACATAGCTAGTTATCTACTTGTAACGTATCCATAATTAACAATGAGCGTACTTAAGCGTATGAATCACAATCATCATACACTTTAATTGTAGTTCCACAGAAAGAACTTTTCTTCTGACTGCGAAGTGAATACGGATACGCACCGAATGTTTACAAAGAAAGATGTAAGAACGAAACATGTCAGAGAGAGACGGACAAATCGAGCGTGGGAACACACTTCAACTCAAGAAGTATTCAGTGCGTTTTATCCTGAGGCCATTCAGGCAACAAGTTGTTGGAAAAATGCCGCCAAGTATTTTATCCCGGCTTTCTAAAGTCGCGCAGAAATATTGCACCTTACAGAACAACTAGAATAGACGGGCAGCATTTAAATTCATCATAATACAAATATTACTAGTATAACCATAGAATTATTACGTACGTTACTGGGTTATAATTCTATGAGTATAACCTTTATAGTTTAACTTGCATATTGGAATTGAAAGTAAACAATGTTCTTAACAAATTAAACGTAAGCTAAGAAATATAAATTTTTGTTATTATATTATTATATAGCGATATAGTTTTTAATTCCTGATAATGATGATGAAGGAATATGAATTTATGTTACTTCTACTAAAATAAACTACAAATACAAATTAATCAATTTCATTTTCACATTTCCAATATATTATATTATACTTTCTAAGAAAAATCTACCCTACAACAGGAGACGCCTATGACCAGCGGTGGACTTAACGAGCTGATGAATAGAAGAAGAAAAATGTATAAAATTAATTCATACATTTTTCTGAAATCTATTTCAGTGTCTAGAATTAGAATTAAATATTATAAGATGCAATACAACGTTTGGAAATTTTACACTACAAAAACACTACCTGAACTTCGGACACAGCGTTATGATTCTAAATCGATATAAAACAGGACCGCTTGTTTTATTAAAGCGTTCTACGCTTCTAAACAACGCAAAAGGGCGTTGGCATCGATGGAAGTTGCAGATGTGTCGCTGTAGCGTACGGATTTTACTCCTTATGTTACTACTCTTACACTATCGACAAACGCAACCGTAAGGCGCTTACAAGTACCACTTCGTGACTAAAAATCTTGTTATGTTATCTTTAAACGTAAATTAAATTTACGTCTACTAAAAGATAAGTTATAGGGTGAAATGTACTATCTTTTACTACGTACATCCAGTTAAAGAATAAAAGATTTACTATAAACTAAGCTTAACAATATAAAATTAAACGACAAACATGTTCTAATGACATGAATTTCTTCATATTATTTTTGTTGGTATACGGACTGTTATACGGACATACGGTTGTTATACGACAAACAAACAAAAAGCTCCGTTATGGGCTATAAAACGTTCGCTGGTGGTGCATATAAAGTCCACTCCTCTATACGAATCAATGAATATGTATTATAATAGTAGATATTTATACTTAGACATTAATACTCACAATTTGACATTTATCCGTTATTATTTGTATGGAGTAGAGTGAAAACACAATGAAATTAATTACCAGTACTAATTTCTGACAGGTATACTTCAATTGCGGCTAAAACCAAATCCATAGTAGATAACTAACTAATAATTATTAACAAAAAAACCCTGTTTGTTTAAAAAATAAACGTTTGACAAAAGAAAATTCTTACGTCGAAAAATAAGAACGCTTTTTTATTTTATTTCACTATTCGAATAATGCGTATGATTTGGCTCGTATTCTGCATACGGATCGTCGACCTTAGCTTAAATTATATTTTTTTGGAATTCAGTGATGGTGCAGCATGGTCGTGCGATCGAGATAGACCGTACTAGGATGCGAGTGGAGCAAGGCAGTCGACCTTGTGCGGTGTTTACATCGGTCGCGGGCGCGTCAGGGCCGCGCGTTGCACCGCGTGGAACACAAACAACCCATACCTTCGGCGCTAATGTAAGTAGGTACCTAGTGTGGCCATAAATTCTGTTATACATATTATATAAAACTTGTGTACATCTTTATTGAAGTCTAAGCGATTAATTAAATACAATTTTATCAAAGCCAATGCAGGCCTTTAATCTCTATGACCACGAATAAATGGATCTGGACTGAAAGTGGGCCAATTTCAGCTCTTATAAAGTCCGGAACATTGTTCTCGAACCAAGCTATAATTATTCGTGCCTGGAGCAGTCCTGCTAATAGAACATTTATAAAAAGTGCACAACTAAGAGGCTTCACTAATCACTAAACAAACAAGACGAGTAAGAGAAATGTTACCCTAACTCTATTCTTTACTTCCTTTTTCATAATTATAATGTTTTAAAAAATTTCGCAGGACAATCCTCTCCCCCCTCCCTGCCAAATCATTACTGATGCAGGATGGTGCTCAAGTAGAACTTTTCCAACATATTGCGAGGCTTCTTTAGAGCTGTGAGCAAGCACTTTTTCATTTTGATTCAATCCTAAATCTGTAAAGAGCACATTTTTATGTCTTCCAACAGCGTATCAGGACGTTAAGCGTTTGGATCAGATTTTAATCAACCGGGGCTGATTTAAGTAAGTTCTGTGTATCGTCGGTAAACACTAAACACGTAGCTTTAGTGTCATGTTTAATAATTTGGGAACGTATCCTACATAGAATCCTCAACACTTTTTTCAAACATATACGCTACGAAGCCTCTGTTAGGTCTCAATTATAAGGGCAAGAGGGGGGCCTGATATGCTCTTCTCTTGCTCTTTAGGTCAGTGGTGCCACAGCCCAAATCGTTAGATTTTATGAGACATGGTTTTATGAAAGAACAGTCATCTTCCCGCTTTAAGATTTAATATAATTCTAGTAAAAATCTAAAAGTACTTTATATTAAAATATAACGAACCCTGTACAAGGGCGACACTGAAAGTGGAACTCTTTTCCAATATTATTGTTTATGTATTTTATTAATTTGTCATTTGTTTACGATTTGGCGGCAAATTGAAAATTGTCTGTGTCACGTCAGCATGAATATAACGCGAGAAAATTTTCGTACAATGATTTTTTATGACTCTCGATGTCATGTAAGTCAACAAGAAAGTTATGATAGACTTCGATTGGCCTTTCACGATGAACCTCTATCTCGTGCCACTGTTTACAACTGGTTTAATGAGTTTAAACGTGGTCGAACTAATCACACCGATGATCTGCGTCAGGGACGGCCTTCTACGGCAACGACTGAAGATAACATCAGTGTTGTGCGCCGTATGATAGCGACTGATAAAAGAGTGACTTATTTGCAGATTCGGACAAGCTTAGGCATCGGTATGAGTCAAGTGCACAAAATCCTCCATGAACATTTAGCGGTCAGGAAGCTTTGTGCCCGGTGGATACCTCATAATTTGACAAGGCCCTAAAACTTGGTGTCATGAAAAGGTTCAAAGATTTAACGGAGGTGGCTCAAATGTTGTGTTCGACATACTTACGGGTGACGAAAGCTGGTTTTACTGTTATGATCTTGAAACTAAGAGGCTGTCTGCAGTCTGGGTGTTTCCTTCCGAGCAGTTGCCAACTAAAGTGAAGAGAGGTCGAAGCATGGGAAAAAAGATGGTGGCGTCGTTCTTCGGAAGGACAGGTCATTACGCAACAATAGTTTTAGAGGATCGAAAAACAGTTACTGCAGTGGTACACTAACAATTGTTTGCCACTTGTCTTGGGAAAAGTTCGGGAGAAACGACCTCGCAGTAGGATCCTCCTTTACCACGACAACGCTTCGTCGCACACCGCGTAACAAACAATCAATTACTTGGTGCCGTCAAACGTGGATTTACTGGGTCACCCGCCCAATAGCCCTGATCTCGCGCCTTGCGATTTTAATTTAATTCCGAAAATAAAAGAAAAACTTCGACGAAAACGTTTTATGGACGCCAAGGAAGCAGTGGCTGCGTTTCAAAATGCCGTCGAAGAGACCCCTAAGGACAAGTGGGCAGTGCTTTTG